TTAAAATTCATTGTAAATGCATTTGCTTTTTCTGCACTGCTACTTTTAGATTTTCATCTCCTAAGATGGCTGTTTAATTATTGGTATTTTCATCTCCTAAGATATCTGTTTAATTATGGCTCAGGTCGTTTCAGCAGCAGTGTGGGTTTGATTCCAGCATGTTGTCCCTTGTTTTGTTTGTGCATAACAGTGTTTTTTCAAATTATCACAACTCTCGGTCCTTGAAAAGAGGGATCCCAATGTAGGTTTGTCACCATAAAAAATTAAGTTTATTTTATTCTTGTTGGCTAAGCACCTTTTAAAAGTTTTTGATGTGTTGTCGTGAAGTAGAGGTTGCATAAGAATATACAATACTCATGCATTTTATGGTTGCAACTTTGCAGGCACCAACCAAACAATTTTGCATCTCGTATTCAAGGTTATGAAGAACCTGAGGTTTCAGTCTTGAAAAAAGAATCTGAGGTTGTTTGAGATTCTTTGTATTCAAGCTTTTTGTTTCACTTTTGATGTTTTTGTGCTCATTTACTATTATTTGTTATTGCAGATTTGATTTCTGCCGTGTGGTTTCTTGTTTGTTTCCCATGATCACTACTGATTTTCCTTCAAAAGTATCCATATGGTAAGTCACAAGAAAGAAATGAATTTAGTTATTAGTTACGAGATTCATAAATCAGAGTGATCGCAATTACGAGATTTCGTGTTTGTTTTTGGATCTATGTTTTTTTCAACGAAAACTCTATCTGCTCAGGAGCATGTGGTGACTAATGATTTCACCTTGGTAATGCAGGAATCTTTATAACTTGTTCTGCAGATAAACGGGTGGATGGCAACCATCAGAGTGCTGCTAAAATGGCAGACAGAAGCATCTTTGTTTGATGTTATGCTACCTACTCACACAAGCCACAACAAATACAAAGGATTACAAGGACGCAGATCACTTCTTGCCATCTCCTTTTGCAGTCATGAACACCTGTCTCCTATGGTCATGTCCACAACAGATAGAAATACTTGTGTTTTGGATATTGATTCATAGATGGCATGAAATTAAAGTGTTAATTTTCACGCTTTCTGATACACCGAGAGGATTTCGATTTGAACAAGTTCTTGTTGCAGCAATGGTATTATAATATCCACCTTTGGCAACACGGGACAGATGATACTCAGATTTAGATTGACTTCTTGTAAACAGCATTGAAGCTGCTTTCTATGCTTCTTTATGCATTAAGGTTTGTTCAAAGAACCTCCGGTGATATGTACATAACCAGAGTTGCCACCAATGACAATGACAAAGTTCATTTCAGACAAAGTCTCCCGTCTCATGATGTAGTTACGCTTAACATCTTTTATGTACTCTTTTGTGGTTGCTGTTTGCTAAATCCATACTATAAACATCAAACAAATGATCGTAGTTTTCTAATGAAAGATGGTACTTTGCTGCAAATGGAGATGGCAAGAGCTGCATGAAGTATTGTTGCAAAGAAAAGACGAGACCTGCTCAAGGAGTTTATTCCAACAGTCAATTATGGGGCACAACTCCAATATTTTTTGGAAAAACATTTTGCATATAAGATTATTTTTCAAATGAATATTGAATCAACATATATGGATTCCAGAAAAAGATCTCAGTAATCATGACATCATCATCAGAAACAAGCCTTCCAACTTCAATTGTATCATTGAGAGACCTCTCGGGCAAGCTTATCCATGAATTGGAATTTCTTGTCAAATCCCCAACCAGGGTTGCTCTGCATTGTAATGTTAACAGGAGATGGTAAGCATTTCATGTAGACCATCACAATTTTACCAGTATATGAAGCAATTTCAAGATTGAGAGAGTGAATACTGACCTGCAGGGAAAGAACTGCACGATTAGCAAATTGCTTCACAGAAGCTGGCGCACTGTTAGGAATAGTTTTTGCAATTCTTTCTAGCTCCTCTGGCTGTTTCTTTGCTGTAATCCTATCAGGTCCACAGTACTGATCAATAACCTTTTCCCATAAAGGGACCCTCTCCATCGCTTCTTTGACGGCTTCCTGAAAACCGAATGTTCAACAATAGCAAACACCAAACAACTTCTAAACCCAAGTGATATTACTAAAATTTTTATTGGAAAAAAGGGAAATCCATAATACCAATTCTAAAATGGTTCAGAACAAATGTTTAACTCATTACAGTGTTCAGTTGTAGTTGATTGGATACATCGACTCCTTGCTCATTACATTGTTAATAGGATCTCTGTTGTATCATGTAATTAAATAGAGTGTTGACAGCCACACTGAGAAGTCTCACCAGTATGATGCAAGATTTCATAAGTAGAAAAGGCACAAAAGAAGAATCATGCCTTTATGTCAGCTAACAGAAATTGAGATTTTAATTAAATAAAATAGTCTTCCTAATTTTACACAAGTCAGAATATCCCAATTATTTCAATAGCATTCTGCGCATACTTTGCAGGTTTTTGATACAACTTTTCCCATTGGTTGTTTTTTCTTTTTTTCTTTTATTTTTTGTTATAATTAATTTCTTCTACCCTGTGCATTTAGCCAGCACTACAAGAGATCCGTCCCACAAGATACATGAAGCCCACAGTTTTCTTTTTCTTTTTCTTATCTTCGCTGGAATAACTAGCATAAACGGAGCATTTAAACTCTGGCATATTTGCAGCAAAAGATGGATGTTCAAGAAAAGACACAGCAAACACTGTCAAAGTGATAGGAATACAAAAAAATCAACTTCAAGGATAAAATCTATTAACCACATTTCAAAAGCAACAGCATATACCTCCCATTCTTCTTGACTTTGAATTCCTTCATATGCCATCAGGAAGGGCTTCACCTTCTCAAGTGCATCATGAAGAGGAATTGGTGGTTTATCATCAATATCTGGGTTTGTGCCAAAATCTACCATCAAAAACTCTGACTCACACTCAATCTGCAAGCCATAAGAGCAAGACCTCAACAACTGATCAACTAGACCCCCAACCCCAGCTAAACTCAAAATATGAGGAAAAAAAAAAGAAGAAAAATTTGATCATACAATACCTACAAAACAATATTATAAGTTAAACTCAATGTAAGCCAAATCAAGCCAAATCGTCAGGTATGTGTCATCTAATTAAGATTTCTTGACCCACCCTTTTTGAGTGAAAATGGGTTTCTTTTATTACTTTTCATTAAAAAATTTTACTTTATTTTTTCTTCCTGTCAGCAGAAATTTTGCATTACACATGAAGGAGGAAAAAAATGCTTTAAATAACCAAATATGCAAATTTTATTCTATCCAGCAATCCGCCATCAAACACACTGGTAATGACTCAAACAACTTTCTAAAAACGCCTCGATATGCTGAGTAAAAGATAATAGAATTTTCAGCTAAAAGGCTGACTCATGCAGAACTGAAAACAGATTTTCATTCTATCCGTTAAGAACATGCCAAAGGAAAATCCAATTATCAAATGGCAAACACCTACAGAGCCCAACCATTCTCAATAACAAATTAATGATTCACTCCATTAACTTCATAAGCTATACATAGAATAGCAAGGTAGCAAGAAAACATATTAGTAAAAACGACATACAACCTGAAGACATTTGAATGACAGAAATGATGCATTTTTCTGTTAAGATCTTTAAATGAAAGAAAAACAAACTTTTTATGAAAAGAAAAAGGAAAAGAAAACAAGAGAAAAATAAACTTTGCATCATTCAACCCTAGAACAATCGATGAAAAAGAGATAATGAAACACTTACCAGGCAATTAGTGTGGAAGGCGTCCAAATAAGCATCGTCCAAAGGCGAATGTACGACCCTACTGCTTGCATCCAAAAACCCATCAACAATGCTGTTCACGTTCTCAAGTCCAATCTCTTGTATCAACTTTTCTTCATCTGCTTCGTCACCGACATATGGATCGTCTGCTTCCTCAGAGTACTTAACATTGCTTCTGTCCACTACCATCCGTCTCTCTCCTCTCCCTCGTTCCCTCCCTCTTCCCCTTCCCCTTCCCCTTCCTCTACCCCCTTCCGGTCTTGCTCTCACCATCCCACCAGCATCGTCGCCATCACCTCCACGCGAAAGGATTCCCATTGTCTTCTTCACAGCTTCTTCCTGGCTCAACTTAGGCTGAGCTGGGGATGGGTCTGCGGCAGATGCAGACCTGGAAGGCTGCTGCCGGACCCGAAGATGACGGTTTTCTTCCTTGACTTGAGCTGCAGGATCAGATTGCTTCAAAGGTTTCCCTCGTCCAGCTCCGGGTAAAACTGAAAGTATGCTAGAGGGGAGATTAGTTTCACTCGACTGAAAGGGTTTCGGCTTCGCTTCTGACTCAATGGCGGAATTAAAACCATCGACATCCTTTTCGGGATGAAAGTAAGTTGCTTGGATTGCCCAATTAGTGACGACTCATCAGCAGCAGATGATTCGCTGACGACCCGGCCATGATCAGACCCAAATTGAGACTGCCTGACGGGGGAAACAAAGGAAGAAAAAGATGGAAGAACTTGGTCAGACAGCCTACTACGGCCGCGACCAGGTCCAACTTGGGTTGGCTGCGGTGAGCCTTGCCCCGACTCATCCGATTCGGGTGGAGCAAAATCAAACTGGGAAGGAGCTGGGGAAAAGCCGCCAACTTAGCCGCGTCCACGGCCGGAAGTGGAGAAGGGGGATGATAATTAGAGTAGAAAAGGGGTTTGGGTCAGCGATCCATTGTAGTGATTGCTGGAAATTTTCACAGGATCTTCCTATGAAACCCAGATACTCAAATCGAAGCTGAAACTTGAATTTACGCTGGGGTTTTTTTGAATATCTTTCAGAGCACAACGACGCCGTTTAACATAAACTAAATAAATAAAAACGATAATTTTTTTTAAAAAAAGGTTAAACCCCCATTTTGGTCCCTCAACTATCGTACGTACCCCGACTTAGTCCCTGAACTCAATAAATCCCTGATTTGATCCCTACTGTTTACCATTTTGACCCCAATTTAGTCCCTCTATTAAAAATCCGTTAAAAATCCAGTGACGTGTCCTTGATTAACAAAAGCATACTGACATGTCAAAAATAAAGTGACACCTCAAATGCACACTTGGAAAAAAAAGATGACAGGGCAGTATGATGTTCCATTCTGCCCCAAAACCAAGCAAGAAAAAAAAGTGGGCCCCACCTCCTGCAAAGCTTGAACCATTCTCCCCCTTTCTTCCCTAAACCCATTTGAACCTAGAACAACAATGCTCTCCAGTTCCTCAACAAGCATCCACAGAAAAAAAAAAAAAAAA